GAGGATATAAGAGCAGGGGAGATCATGTAATACAATAATTGGAGGAAAGGATGGGAACGCATATGCAAGTGCAAAATGAATCATTTCACTGTACTATTGGTTTAAACGGGCACATTCTAATTGGCGCTGTGAACATGTATTAAGACAGTAATTTACATCTATGAATATACATATATTTAAACACTTGACCAGTTATCATATTCTTGAAATTTCGCGACTTTCGCGACACCGACCACCTTTCTGCAAAAGTTTGAAACGACAATATCACATACTGAATTAACATTGATTAGATCAGATTCGCAGTGAATTGTTAGTTTCTGTCAGGCCTGATATTATTAATTCCTTTAGATAACAATAATGATTAAAGAGAATCACCTTTTTATTTATAGGAATGGGCTTTCAGTGGCACTGGTAAACCATATTATAAAGGACCTGTTAGTTTACGAGACTTATATACGGATGCAGATATTGCTGCGGAGGATTGTATTATTTCATCATTACGCAAGCATTTTGGCAATGGTCTAAAAATTATTGGTGAAGAGGCAAAAATCAATTTCAATTTCATTTTTTTTTACTCAGTTGCTGAATTCGACAACATTTTATTCCCATTTCGTTACCCTTGAAAAAAAAAATTTTTTTGGTTAGAAAAACATCTGTTTCTAGGAAATGTGCATTTTGAATGGGAATTGACGAATTTATTACTTTTGAATCATCTAAATTAAAACTCTTTTTCACAGAACAGATATGAAAACAGTAAGAAATTGGAAGGAAGTTAGCACAGATAGTTTATGTCTTACAGCTTCCGCTTTTTATTAGTGATATTTTTGTAATTGTTAGCTGCCTGTTGAGTACAAAGAACTTAAATTATAAGTGAAATTAAATGAAACTAAATAGCACTATAGCCATTTTCAAACTTATATCAGTGGGAGGATTTAAACATTAGAATATTTATCTTAATGTTTTAATTATTTCAACGGTTTTCACATTGTTCTAGATAGTTTATGTAAACACATTACCTATCTTACAGAATATTGAACCAGTGGGAACAAGTGTGGTAAATGATTTTGATCCCAGTGTTTTGATGTATGACAATGAATGTAGTGATGAAGTACGCCAGATAACATCGGATGATGTACGTTTTGTTCAATCATTATTTTGTTTTTATTTTATTTAGTAATTGTCAGTAGCATGTTTGCCATAGCGTTAAAATTAATTGCATTCAGTTTTACTTTCATGACAATTTCCATTTCAGTTTTTGCTATGAACATGATAATTTTGCAGGTGGTGATTTGGGTTGATCCTTTAGATGGAACTTATGAATTAGTTGCAGCTGAAGGCAATATATGTAAATTTTATTTCCATTGTCAAATGTATTTTTTTTTCATAGCTTATAATCAACAGTTCAGTTTCGCTATTTGGTCTCATTTGATTAATTAACTTGGAAATATCGATTTTTAGCATCGGGGTATTCTATAGGTTAGATGATATTAGTTATATCCATGTGTCATTCTCTTTTGTTCAGAACGTTGTTTTTTTTTTCGTGTTTGGGAATTCTGAGCAAACATAGAGGCTGATGCAAAACTGCCGCTTTGATGATTGAAGAGCTAGAAGAAAATTGCATTATGTGAAATAATGTTAGTTTTGCAGCGCGACAGCAAGAAGTGACTGTACTAATTGGTGTGTCTTATCAAGGACGGCCAGTGGCTGGTGTAATACACCAACCTTTTTGGGGAATTAATACTGTGGGTCGCACAATTTGGGCAATCAAAGGAATGGGCGTTCATGGCATAGAGATTATTGAAAGTACTACTTTAAATAGTTCTTCCAGTTTCAGATAATGTGTTGCAAAATTCCCTGGCTTTATATCTTCAGATAATTTTCCTTTAGAGAGTAGTAGTTTTTTGTCATAACATGAGCGAGTTCTTGGTAATTTATATGTTATCTTCTGACATCCATTTAGCTCTTGCATTGCATTTCTGTTATCGTATCTTTATTATAGGCAATTCACAAAGATATGCTGTTACAACACGGAGTCATTCTACTCCTCAAATTCGTGACACAATAAACATTATGAAGGAAAAGAATCTAATTAGCGATGCTGAATTTGTTGGTGGAGCCGGGTTTAAGGCACGTTATTCGGACGATCCATTTTGTATCAGTGTATTATAAAATAAAATAATATTATTATGCGTAATATTTCTTTTGGTAATAGATAGTTTAAATTCGTCAAGTTCATTTTTCATTATATCACGTTATGGTACAATCAACGTGTTGGAGGTGCTTGATTGTAAATAGTAATTAATGAGGTTCTCAGCAAAGGAGCTGTCTCTGTGAAAAGTAAATTTACTCAATTAGTAATACATGTGTGTACACATGTGTGTATTTTGAGTAAATGAGTACATGAGTACATTACACACACGTGTGTATTTTTCCTTTTGTCTATGCTAATATTTTTGTCAAAAAATTATGAGGATATAATGGTGAAATTTACGACTTCCACTGGATATGAAAATGATATTTTTTTTAGGTCTTGAAATGTTTAGAAGGCGCTGCTGCTTATGTTTTTCCCAGTCCTGGTTGTAAAAAATGGGATACATGTGCTCCAGAAGCAATAATTACTGCATCAGGTTTTTTTTTGAAAATATTAAATTTAGGTAAACTCTGGCGTTTTGGAACTCTGGTTGCATAAATTTGCAAAATTTTAAGTGAAGTCGATGTCTGCTTTAGGTGGCAAACTTACGGATATCTCAGGAAATGATCTCTATTATGGTGCAGATACGCAAATAGCAAACAGTGGTGGTGTGTTGGCAACAGCGCATTGGGTAAATCATCAGGTTGGCTTATTTTTATATATCACTTTTTCAATTTTATTTTAGCATTTTGAGTCCATGCAATTCTAATTTTCAATCTCTAATTAAGTTTTGTCAAGTTTAACTGTTAAAATAAAATTCCAATTTAGATTGTATGGAAAATTTTTATAATTAAATTTGTAGGAATTTGTGGACTGCATTCCAGAAAGAATAAAAGTACTTGTGCGTGAATTAGCCCGTAATTGATCTATTCATCATTTCAGTAGGAATCAAATCTGAACGAGTTATGATATATGATGTACCGTTGGCTATACTCATTATTACAGATGTTTTTTATGTTTATATATGTAGAAAAGTAAATAAGACTATCATGATAGTTATTAAAAAATATAGCTGTTCAAATTAGGATTTCTCTCCGCTTGTTATTTGTGGTCAACTTCCAATTCTAGTAATATGGGAGTCCAATGGATAATTGCTTTTTAATTTTCTATTTCCTCTATTTATTCGCACAATAATCAGTTATGTGGAAGTGATTCAGTTGTCTGGTAAATGTTAATAAAATGGCTTTATTTTGTTTTAAATAATGCTTTCGCGTTTCACTTTGTCTATTGATGATTAGGAAAGACGCACTTCGAAATAAGTGCACTTTAATATCCTAGTATTAAGAAGTACAAAATTGATGAATTATCGTTTCAAAAAACTGCCATAGCTACTGGAGTGTTGAAATTTTATGAAAGGATATCGTGTGCTCAGAGTTAAGTGTGTATGTGTTAATGTGTACGCTTAGATCTGCATTCATTTGTGGATATGTGTCTGTTTATTTTTTTCAATACTATGATGTGTTCAGTGTAGTCTGAGCACCAAAACTTTGTAATTCTTCACTCCTCTCGTTGGTTGCTGCAAATTCTTATTCCATCATTATGTTGTGCATCGTACTCTAAATAAATTGTGGCTATCTCATTATTTGCTTGAATTTTCGTTGATTTCCATGTCAGAAAAAGTGAGAGGATGAAAATGTTATGGTGGAGTTGTTTAGATGGAAATTGAAAAGGAAAAAATTAAAATGCTGAAAATTCAAATGAATAGGATGGTGGCTTAAGCGATCGTCAAATTATATGATAGGTCGTATTATTTAATTGCTTCCGTCTAACTTATCCTGCTGCATATGAACGTGTATATAAAAGTGATTGCGTGTATATAAAAGTGATTGCAAGCTGCCACCAAGTTAACTATTGTCTGTAATTTGCAATGTTTTAACAAGCATTAGCAAGCGAATAGATTCGAGGATGTCAAGGAAATGGATTACATAAGGATGATATTATGACATCAATCCCATCTGACACTATCCTTTAACATCCCTATATGGAGTCGAAACATCATGCGTCTTATTACAGCTGAGGAAATTAAACTTTTAAGGGCGGGAATGTACATATGGTATATGTAAGCATTGTAAGAGGGATTGGAAACAGCCGAGGACATCTTTTCATAAAATATCAATCAACAGAAAGAAACTAAACCGTGTTATGAGATAAGTTCGATTCAGCAGTCTAACAACTGAAAGAAATGATGAGCTGTTTTCTGTGATCGGTCTATGATCATCACAACTGACCCATTTTGCTGAGAGGTAGGAATGCTAATGGTGATGCAAGTATGGGAATATATGTGGAAGCCGCATATAAAATTTACAAATACACGTAAACTTGCTATCGCGGTTGGTTATAGAAGTAATCTTTTAGTGTCAATTAGGAAATACATTACATTTGCAGATTTTTAGCTTCGCTTATAATCTGTGCTTTAAATGAATGTACATTTGAGATCTGATGTCAATGGAGATGATTTTATTTCATGAATATTTCTGCATGATGCATCTTTTTTCTAACATAGCACTATCAAATAATTCAAATTGGATTCAAAAGTCTATTATTAAATGTTTCTATAAAACGATCCCTCTGCAAAAAGATAGTGTGCAGTAATCATCGAATTTGTCAGTAATCATCGAATTTGTCTTCATTTTATATTGCAAAAATTACTTTTTATCTCTTAGCAAATTCATTTTCATATTCTCGAAACACTTTTTTTCAACTATATTCTTGCCAAAAGGATTGTTCAACAGATTTCATTTTATCATTTTCACATTCCACTAATACTTCCAAATCTTTATACTTGACTATATTTTGCTAAGAGAATCAAAAATAAGCGAAATGTTTTGCAGATTATTTTTGTTCATAAATGAAATCTGTGACATGGTATCTGTCGCTATCTGTAATTTTGTGGATTTCGCAAACTATTGATACTGTATTATTTCATAAAAAACATGAATTACTTATGAATGATGTGGTAAGACAATTTCTTTGCTGAAAAATGATTCATAAAATACAATGCCAAAAAAAGCAACAATATGGTAGAGTGAAGTATCTATCCGACTCTACAAATAAGAAATGTATGTGATCTGTGAATTGTTCCTCTGTTAGGCCTTTTTTTCTACGATTGCTTTCTTCTTCATTTATCGACGACCTTTGGATCACTTTAGCATTTTATAGTTTCAAAGAAAACCGAACGAAATTCGTAATAAAAAGACATTTATTATTCTGAAATTCCAGCCATGTTATATTTGTGCAGCAGAATGGAAGCTGCAAAATGGCAATCGACGGGTAATAATTGAGCAAGCTAAACTTGCTGAAGACGAAGATAAGGTGATGTTTGATTTCTTAATTTTATGTGCAAGAAACAATTGATTGCTTAGATAGACTTTTAAGAAAATTATTGGTGTTTTACAAAATGACAATTAATTGTAGTGTGAAGCAACAGTGGTTCGTGAAGTAGAGGATGCCTTGAAAATGATGCAACCTGAATCGTGGCAGAATACTGCTATCAATGGTTCCGTGCTGAAACAGGATACTGAAAAGGTGTAGTTTTGAATTTTTGATTTCGAATATTTGTTTAGAATGAATTACTTTGAATTATACTTGGATATTTGCATAACAGTAGGTATGTTTAAGTAAAAGATTATTGCGGTTTAAAACATGAAGTTAATTCGGTTATATTAAATGATTGAAGTTGATTGAATGTTTTTTTTTTTGGGTAAAAGTATTCTGAATAAAAGAAGCACTAATAAAAATTTCATTTGTTGCATCAAATTGTAGTTTCTGAACGAAAATGAGAAATTATTATCAGTGGATCAATTTCGGAAGAAGCTAGCCATCCTAAGTTCACGTTGGGAAAAATATCGAATGCAGCAGGATTTCAATAAATGGACGACATTACGACACTGGCTTCGTTTACCAGGTCTGCGACATCGTTTACAGGTTAATAATAAGATCAATCAATTAAAAAACAAAGAAGTTATTTAGCTGATAAAGAGAGACGAAGATGCTAAATAACTTCTGCACTATTCGAATTTTTTCACTATTTTTGAACTATATTTTAATTTCGAAATGAAAAACACATCTAGATTGAATTAAAAGTTTGGAAACACAAAGTAATCTATGTGAACCAATAATAAATTAATAACTAATATATATAGAAATATCACAAAGCTTACAGCCCTAAATTGTTTAATTTGAATTATTGACTACTCTTTCTATTTTGCATTGATTATTTCTTGTTTTCCCGAGTGATTGTTTATGAGTGAACAATATTATATTTCATTTTGTTCCATAATTCTCTTTCCACTTTAACTTCCATTCTGTTTTTATCATTAATGAATCCAAGTAGAGCATTTCTATTGTGATAATTATAGGTACTGGAAAAAGATTTGAAAAGTGAAAAGCAGTCACGACGACTACGGCGACTGTTACATCGAGTGCAGCATGTACAGAATATTCTGCAAACGGTTAGGAAAAAGTTACAGGATGCCTATGCCGTTTTGCATCTTGAAGGTAAATTTACCGTTTTCATGTTTTATGCATGACAGAATTGATCACTGATTATGCGATTATACATGGTAATGAAATAATGATTACATTAACTTCGCATGTAATGGCTTTATATCATAAAATAATATCTCAACTTGTTCGTTAATTCTTAATGAAAAAAAATTTCTTTTTCTTAATTGATATTTTTGTCAATATTGAAAACCAGCTTCACTTATTGTGCCTTTTTGTAAGCAGGATAATATTCTCTCAGTTTTTTTTCCAAATTTGCTGATATAAAATATTTTGCTTGCTGTATTGAGTGCTACCGATATCAAAATATTTGGTGACGTTAATTTTGGAGCAATACTATTTCGAGCAGCAGTGAAAACTGGTCTCAGATTTAGAAAAGTAATTTGTTTTATTTAAAAATTATTCCAAGAATTAATAAAAAAATTAAGCAAATCTAACAAATGCTTTAGATAACCTTTTTTGGTAATTGTTGAAATGACTCATAGCGTGGTTGAAATTAATAATGAATTAATAATTAGCTGCATACGATAATTTCTGTAACATAATAAACCATGCAAAAGAAGGCTACCATAAACACAGCGTTGTAGAGGATGAAAAAGCCAAAGTTCAGAAGGAATTTGAAACAAGAAATATTTCATTACTGTTGAATATCGGTTTCTTCCTCTTTATCAGGTTGCAAAAATAACTTTAATTTTTGCATGAATGCTTGATAAAACTTTGAGATCGTTCATTTTATCACTGTCCCCTTTGTTGTATTATCTTTATTAATTAAATTCAGTGCGTAATGTTTTTTTTTAAATCAAATAGCTCCGCTACTCTCTGATTACTAGATGTTATTTTCCAGATTCCTTTATTTCCAGGCAAGTCGCCATATTCTGAAACAGCATTACAGAAGCGTTTTGTAGCAGCTATGGATTATAAGGTACTGCAATCACGACGGCGACACTTCGCACTAAAGCGTAAGTTATCACCAAGTTATCAGTCGAGAACCATCAAATGCGATCACTTGTATCAATTATCATGCTTTTAACTGTTAATTGTTGACGTGAAAAATTGCATTTCTTCTTACGGAAGAATTGCTAACGTAATTTAGAACCATAGTTTCTAATTCATCGTGGTTTCCTCATGAAATACAGGCCTAAATTTCTATTAACTCCATATTTTTTGTTATCTATTATTGTTACAATGGAATGACAGTATAATTAGACGATCATATACAGTATTGGACAGCGATAAACAGTATTCTGTTTATCTATAAAAGAAAAAATTTAACTCTCCCAAAATTCGGAAATTAGCTTATCTGTCTCATTATGCGTGAATTTTTTTTTCAGTTCTAAAACTTGTCTTTAATTGTAAATTTTTGAATGTTTTGACTGAATGGATTCAAGTTTTATTCGATGTGAATATTATCGTTAGAAAAAATTTGTAGCATCAAACTTCGCTTATTTCTAATATTTCTATAAATTAAATTTAATTATTTTCTATTGGTTATGAATTTCTATATTGTTGTCCAAAAAAGTTTCTTTTAATCCTAGTTAAGCCTTTTGAAGGGGGCATTTGGTAATACAATTTGCTTGTAATTAATATGTCATTTTTTTCCTTTCTCATCAATTTATTTTAAATTATAAAAACCTTCGAATCTTAACTATAGATAATTCACTATGCTTTTTCTCTAACCCTTACCTTAGAGCTAAATTTCGGAATTGTCCATTTAAATATTACTTTTATCAAATTCTTAACAATTATTTCCTGTCATTTAATTTAACACAGCAATTTTCTAGCTGTACAAAAGACTATCGCTTGTATTATAATTCACTTTATTTTTATGTGAGCTTTATCAGTCGACGTTACTGATCATCATTAGTTTGTTGAATTATTTGCTAATTTCAATTAATTCTTAGTTTATTTTTCTGTTGTTATTCATTTTTCCGTTAAAATTTTTTTATCTGAAGATTTTTTAAAGGAATAATTCATTTCTTCTATTCACACCAAATTTAAATTTCATTAGAACTTACTGATTTAGTAGTGAATGTCATTTTAACAATCCCAAATTCCGCGACAGCTAACTGTCTGAAAGATTGCTTTGTTAAATTTGTGGATTGAGTTAGGTATAGCGAAGAAGGAAATATTTACGTGATTTAAATCGAATTTGAAACTAAGTGATCAATTATATAGGCATTAGCTTATTTTTAACATCGCAGAATAAAAAAAAAAAAGAATGATTTGTAAGTTTAGTCTTGTCGCTTTTTACTGGAAATGAGCGCATGTCTTGTTACGGAGTGTCTCAAATGATCTATCTATCTATACAGTATCCAACGTAACTGTAGATACCCAACCACGATAGAAGATGATAGACTTATCCCATAGTTAGACAATGTCATGAGGGAGAAGAATAAAGCGATGGGAGAGAGTCGTTAGCTGCATTTGTTGTTATAGATAAAAAGAAACAGAAAACATATAATAGCGGGAATATAAAGCAATGACATTCAGAAAATTTTTTCTATTGTGACAAATTTGAACAGTACTTAAATTTTCAATTTTTCAAAACTCTTTCTAACTGAATTTTTTCGAATTCAGTTCATATTTTAATTCGAATATAGATCTTACACTTAGATAAGAAATGGCGAAAATGAAAAATTTGACAATTTTGAAAAATAGAGAAAAAAATGATAATCTATAAAAAGAAACAAAAAGCTCATCTAACTTGGGAAACAAATTAGTTCAATCTGCTTATTTCTGAAAGAAATAATATTGAAATGAATGAAAGAAATAAAATTGGAATTATATGAGCACACGCAATTCCTGAAATAAATTCAAAAAAACGTAGAGAAGCAATGTTGTTTAATAAGTTGGAAATGATTCAGGAATACGCCTAAAAATAGATGCAAGTGTCATTCTACAAACTGTTATTGGCCACTAACTTCTTTTTACACATTCCAAAATTAGGAAGAGAAAGGAGGAAGGGAAATTGAAATTTTCCATGTACAAATTATTTAAAAATACCGACTGAATTAGAATTCTAAAACCAAGCCTTAAATTTAGATCATCAACTGGTAAATGATTTAATAGAACTTCTGTTCTATATGTGAAACTTTTTCTGCAAGTCATTTTTAAGATCGATTCTGATTTTCATCAATAATTTCATTCGGAGCTGTACTTGCTATTAAATTTCGCTATCCTCTTGTCTCGTGCAAGTTTACACATATTCAATCCATACGCTTTAAAACTTTAATAGAAAAATGTTCACGCATGAGCGCTTCTTATAATTGAAAGAAACAAATAAATTAATTGGTAAAATCCGTCAAATTGTACGGATCAGATTTATTCTGCACTTCATCAATCAAACTCGCAGAAAATAGGTACTTGTTGAAATATGTTGCAAGAGTTCATTTGTATACTTGAAATAGGAATCAGTTCAGTGTAGTGTCTCTTGAACAATTTAAATTTTTATATTTTTCAAAATTCTGTGCTTGATCTTCCTATTACCACATTTTTACATTATTAGCTACACATTTAAGCTTTGATAAATACAAGAAATTGCAGTAACAAAAACAATTTTTTTTTGTTTTCAACACATTTTCAATGAACTTATCGCACAATATTGGATCTTACAGGAAATGGCAAATCCTGTTGAACTCCCTACTTTCTTACTTTAGTTGAAGAAACCCTTACAGCTTTCAGTTTCCAATATTTTCAAAATGTTGGGTCGAGAAATGATGAATACTGCAATCTTTGGGAATTTTTTATTTCCACCATAAATTCATAATATTTCGCATGACAAGTTAAACGAAAAGTAAGTAGAGATGAAATCAAATATTTCTTTTTCACTGTGTGATGTATGGATGTATTAAAATTATATCAATAAACCATTGCTGATATTTGCATATGGAAATTCTAAAACATTTTTAAATGTCTCAAAAAATACATGTAAAGTTTTTTCATAAAATATTTTAGTACCGATGTTAAAAAAAGACATAAAAATGATCATTGTATGCTCTTTCATCCATTCTTACTTGCTCATCTTCATTTTGCTGTGACAGATAACTTCTGCTTTTCTTTAATTATTCTGCCCTTATAACTGTCTTTCTATTTGTTCATTTGGCCTCTCCTTTCGGACTAAACTTCATTTGTCATGTTACTGTAGCAAACTTTTAAGCGTTTGTTACTTTTAAGTATAACGATTATTTTATTTGCCAAGTTGACCTTTTATTTTTATTGCATAAGATGATGTAATTTACATTAAAATTATATATGAACAATTATGTGCAGAATTTGGTTTTGGCTTTTTGGCCGAAAGTTTATTGCAGTAATGGAATGGCTAAATGTGAAATGAATGAAAAAAATGAAGTTAAATTGATTGTATATTTCTTCAGAATAATAAAACTTTAGAAGTCAACATTTCCCACTTCCAACTTAAACGATACATCAGAGAAATAATTATAAATCCTGTGAGAAAAAATAAATATTTATTTTTAGTTCCTAATAATTTTCGAGTTAAATTTATCTATCTTATCTAAGCTCTTTCGGATGAGCTCTGAAATTAGCAATTGATAAAATTAGTTGTCGCCTGATAACGTCATAGGTGTATGTGTGGATGTCTGTGCGTGTATGTGAATGCATAATATTATTAATATTTCTGCATAATATTAACATTAATATTATTCTTGCTTGTTGATTAGATAACAGATTTTATTCATATTCCTAATTGGAAAACATAAAATGAAATTGCTTTATGTGATCAAAAAATTGGTCGTTCTCAAGTGTACTTTTGTTATTTTTATCTTAATAAAAAAGAAATATATTAGCTAATTGCGCATTTCTTCTGTTCAAGAGTATAATGCTTCTTTAAATGTTCTTTTTTCCAGATAGGTGTATAACTGATTAAATTCAAAAGAAGAAATTTTTATCTCTCAATTTTTTTTAATTTTCACTACTTGAAAGAAACAATTTCGAAATGTTTTTCAGATTTAAAATTCTTAATTTTTTAAAATAATTGTTATAATTTCTCACGTAATCGTACCTATCTGACCATTTGATTAATAGGGTACAATTATAGTTACAGAATATTGTGTACCATCCATAAACAAAAAATAATATCATTACTGTTAATTTTAATTATTTTGCTTCCTAACTGAAAATAAAGATTGAATTTGAATATAGAATAAGTTAAATTTCGGGAGGACAAGAAGTTCAACTATTTTAACTTTTTACTGATAACCTCTACTCTCGTAATATGGAAAAATAAGCGTATGTTCCTATTAAGTAACTACTTGCTGATCAGTTGCAGAAACGGTGATAATTGTCAGTGCAATTGTAATAAGTCAATAGCATGAAATAAAAAAGGCGAAAGGAGTGTAATAACTGTTGATAATAACATAATCAATAACAATAGTTGTAAAAAAATATGTAAACTTCAAAACTTCAACTCATCTATCTCTAATGGCATATATCTAGAATGATTGAATATAAATAGTGGGAATTTAAAAAAAAAAGAACATTAAATGTGATATGACAATAAAATAATATAATTACAAATGCTAAATTTGTTTTAAGGTAAAGCGCAAAAATCCGTTCCGAGTAATGTTTAGCAATCCATCTTATTTATAAATTCACTTTTTTGTTTAAGTAGAATTATGCTATCACCATTCGCTAACTAATTAGCTTATTCATAACTATTCTATGTTATTGATAAACTGATATTTTTCATGAATGCTACATTGGTATTGATTAGTAGGAAAGGAATTAATTAGCAATTTTTCTTGATAATCCATCTGATCCATTGTGTCTCATTAATTTCATTTTTATACTATTTCTGATTCTTTATTGAACTTCAATTGATTGCAGTTTTTTTATAAATTGAATACAATAAACATTTACAAATGGATACTTATTTGAATAGTTATAAGATATTAACATGTGATAATGAAAAAATACTTACCTTCCTTCCAATGAAATGCTAAGCTACTTGAAATAGCATACAAATTTTTCCATACACTTCATTCATAATGGTCAATAGAATTGATAAATTTTGCATGTGAAAAGAGTTAAGCAAGAAAACTATGGAACTGACTTCTATTTTGAAATGAAAAAAATGGTCATTCCATGCTAATTAATTGATAAAAGAAAGAATTCGCTGATATGATTACAATGCTGTCTCAAAATTATTTTCTGACCAGTAATTAAATAGCAATGATAATGATTGCTATTAAAATGGTAAAATCACTTTCCGAATATTGTTATTAATTTCAAAAAAAATGTACAATTCTTATAGACTGTAATGATCATATCAAAAAATATCAAAAAAATTTAACCAGTTCTTTAACGGTATAGTTTAAAATTCACATGCGCATGTGGTTGGTGCCACACCTCAACATCGCTTCTCTTATTTTTGTATCTTTTAAGCTGAAATGTGTTTTCCTTTAGTGACATAATTTCCTAACGTTTTCGCAAGGAAATATTAGTTTTGATTTTTTTTTTCTTTTTTTGTTCATAAAGTATGTATCATTCAATTTGGGTCAATTTTTAAAGTTACATGCTGCCAAGCAAAACATGTTTACACGAAATAACACTGCTTTTCTTCTACCAAACTGTTTGATGGTTGTCACTCGATTAAAAATTCGAAATTTTGTTAACGCAGCAGCTAGCAATGTAATTCTCATTTAATCAAAAATTAAGCAAATTAACTTAGATGTTATCAATAAGTAAATTCGGTGAGATATCACACATCAAAGTTTGCCAATATTCGCTCTATAACACGCTGTAACAATATGAAACTGCTAAAACTGCTAAATTAAACAGTGATGCTTCTATTCGTTTACTTTATTCATCTCTTCAACATTTTGAATTGAATTTCAGCAAAATTTCCGAAAGATTAAAACAATACTTTTTTTGGTTTGAATAAGCTCGAAATTTAGTCATTCTTCACATCAATTTATTGTTATAATACTTAAAAACTGGTTCTTTTTTGGATGGAAAATAAAATGATTGACCAGTTTGCAATTTATATCGATGTGATGTTGTGCATCATACGAATGTCTTCATGTCGATAAGGAGGAAAATGACAGCAGCAACCTATTGCATGCCAGCAATTCACCCAAATGACAACACCGATGACAGAAGACGCTGCTGGAAGACAGATAGGCGGTGCATTTGCTTTTTCTTTTTCATTACAAATATTTAGGGTTTTCTTTCAACTTCGAAAGTTTCTCCCGAAAAAAAATGTAGTTCGTTTCAATTTTTATGAATTCTAAATTTCCTGTATTTTTTATAATTTTAATAATGAAAATTTGATTTAGAATGAAATAAGACGAGATTTCACTTTTCCGATTTGAAAACTAATCAATACGCTTATTCTACAATGTAACTACAATAGATATCACAACAATTTCTTACGAAATATTAATGTTTCATTGGCAAAATTTGATAAATGCTAAATATTTTTTTTTTAATCCAAATCATTTTCAAAATTTATAAAATTTCAAAAAAAAACTTTCTTACAATGTCATCTTCCTAGAGAAAAGGAAATATGCCTAATATTTTGTGTGTGTAAGCTGAAATGAATGGAATTGAAATAGAATCACAAACAAAGTAATGATTAAGCAGCTATGATTTCATGTTTCTTAATTAAGCTATTATTGACTAATACTTAATTAAACATGAAAATTTTTCTTAAATTCATGAAATCCAAAACCCTTTTGCGGTTACGTTCAGTTATTAAATTTTCCAGTGAAATTGCATCTAATAGCAAAATTCTTCAGAAAATATCTAAAACAGTGCCATAAAAATGAATATTCCTAATTGCACCACTTTTGTCTCATTTTGTCTTCGGTAAAATCAGTTTATCAATCAATTTTATTCATTTTATTGACTTTCAATAACAATTGTTTTGTAAGTACATGAATGTGTGCTTATCTTCTAAAATTATTATGTTAATATGATTCATTTCCAACAAGCAATAATTTTAATTCGTAATATATGTTCGTACTTCTTATATTAGTTAAACAATTAATTAGTGCTTGTTTTGCTAAAAAATTTATTTTACTAATAAAATCATTTACTTTTTATCGTTGATAGTCATCATTTAGAGAGATTTAAAAAATAACTTCCATGATGACAGCATTCATAATTATTCCAATCGCCTTTCTCATGTTTAATGCAATAGGATCAAATATCGATTCCCCCAAACATCAGGTTATTTTTTTTTATTCATAAGAATTTGTTTCAGCATTAAAATTTCATGAATGATTTCTTATTTTCACTTGCTTTTTACTTGTTTTTTCATTTTTCTCCAGTTTTAATGTTTGTTTTATTTCAGGAAGTTAAAATTGGATTTATAACATATGAAGTGAGGCCTTACGTTTCAGGAATACGGGTTGTTAGTATACTAAGCAAAAATAATTTAATAAGTTATTCGTAAGTTTCAGCAATCTCTGCATCACTTGCAATATTAGAAAAAGTTTTTAATTGAACAATGTCTTAAAAATTACATTTTCCTGTCAGAAGATGAACAACTAGGAAATAGAATATCGAAGAGTAAAAACAACAAAAGCAAAATTAATATAATTTGCCGTCAAATAAGATATTAATTTTGTTCTGCTGCAAAGTTGATTTTCATTATTTCAGTGAATCAGGTGCTACAATAATTTATCCAGATTCACGAGCACGTATTGTAATGTTCGGTTATCATCTTGATAAAATCGGTATCATATCACTTACAACAGACAATTGTTTTAATTCGGTAGTAAATATCTCACGTCCTGAATTTCTCATTCAAACCGTCAAACGACTTGATTTTGTTGCATATTTCGCTGAGTATGTTTATCCTTTATTTGGACGTATTTTTAGATCAATGATGTATTTTGGTCTAAAATTATTTCTGTTTGAAAAATGACAGATTTAATGAGAGATCAATGGTTGAAGATGACAGATTTAAAATTTGAAATTTAGATCAGATGAACCATATCATATTTGCTACAAGGAACGAATGAGCAGGAAGGAATCAAGCGAAGAGGAAGAAGACATGATCATGGTAGGATGTGTTAAAATCATTTTTTATAAGTTTATACAAATATCAAATTAATTAAGCGCAGTAAAGTGATTTTTATTTAAATATTCTACATTCCTTTTTCCAGCCTTTATCCTTTCCTATATTTTGTTAAAATTACCAATCATTTAGATGGATGAGTCGCGTAACTCAATAGTTACAGAAACACCAACTCGCATATACTATCTACCGGTGTATCTGCAGATCAGTATTATTTTCATGCTCTTTTGTCTGTCTGCCTTATTTTCAGGCCTTAATTTGGGCCTTATGGCTCTTTCACCTCAAGAATTGATGCTTATACAAAAATGTGGTAATTTCT